CACATGAGGGAGCGGGAGGCGGCAGGGGGGGGAGGACGGCGGGGGAGAGAGGGGGGGGGCACACCGCACCGCACCGCGCCCGCGTCCTCCCCCGACCTGTCGGCCGGGCCGGGCCGGGCTCAGCGCGGCCGCCGCATCTTCCCGAGTCCTCTCCCGGCGGAGCGGAGCGGGAAGCGTAGGCGGCGGCTCCGGCCCCGCTCCCGAGGGGCTGTGGAGCAGCACTTTCCCCCGGCCGTTTTCAGGGCATTCTCTGGTGGCGTGCGTGACAAACAGAAGATGTTTTCCCAAGCTGAAGTTTCCAGGGGTGCGTCTGGGGAAGCCGCCGCCTCCCCGGACAGCGGGAGCCGGGAGCTCCGCCGCCGCCCCGGCCCCGCCGACCGCTCCCTGAGCCCCGCATCCCCTGCGGGAACGAGGGGGGCACAAGGGAGGGCCCGGGTCTATCAGCCTGCAGGGGACTCGCCGGGACTTGCGACTGTCGCGCCTCCCGGGGGTGCGAAACGGCGGCTTGTTTTAACGCTGCCTTGCACGGGGTTTAAGCGGTGTAAAAGCGGGGGCATTTTCAAGGCGTGGAGAAGCGGGATCAATGAAGGATTCAGCTGCACATTCGCGCAGAGCGCTGCGAGGAAGGAAAGTGCAAGAAGAATTTTAAAAAAAAAAAAAAAAAAGTGAGGTCTTTTCACCTGATTTCGTTACAGATTGCAAACTGCTCCTGTTGGCTTAAATCTAAATCCGCTGTAGGGCTCCCGCCGGCGTCACGATGGTGCCAGCGTCATCTTCTCTCCCCATGAGTGAGCAGACGAGCTCCAGGTGCCCCCCCGGGCTGTCCCCAGCACGGCGCGGGGCTGCTCGGCCCGACGCGCTCGCTCCCCCCCGGCTCCGCAATCGCTGAGGAACCCCACATCCCACGGCACGCGTGGACCCCAGGACGCTGACGCAGCCCTCAGGCTGGGAGCTGGCAGGAGCTGGCGGTGCACTTCTTCAGCTTCCGAAGGCTGGGGAAACCTGGTGGGTCACGGACTTCAACGCTTGTGGAAGTTTTCAGGAGCAGAACACAACCTTGGACACCTGCTCCCAGCTCGGCAGCAGCTCTGCCTGCTGCCCTCAGTTTTTGTCAGGAAGCGAAGTTCTCCCAAAAATGTCCAAGTGGACATCTACGAGCACGACCACTGCTGGGTGAGCTGGTGCCAGCGTCAAAATAGCTAATTCCCCTGAGGCACACTCCCCCTATGGGATTTTTTTTTATCATCAATGGAACAAATAACGAAAAAAACCTATTTAGAGCACAGAAAAGTTCTGGCAATGCTGCATGATCACCCAGAAGAGCTCCAAAGAGATAAAAGAGATAACCAGTTCCTAAAATCCCTCTGTAATCAATATTTCTCAGTTCCCAGAACAATCTGTTCCGGCACTTGACTCTCTTTACTCTGAGAAAGATTTTTCCAAATTCATATTCCGTATTTCTCTGTTTCTTGCTCTACAGTTTATATTCATAATCTGTAAACCTTTCACCACAGAGGTGGTGGTGAACACTGATCTTCTGGAACTGCCTTGAGATGACCAAAGACTTTTGGTCCCCCTTCCTCCAATCTTCTTGCAGGCAGCCAACTCCCACTTTTTCCCCAGGGTGAGCTTCCCACACCCTCGACATTCTTTATTTCTCCCTTATCTTTGGGCAAGCAGTGTCTTTTTTAACTTTTATGGCCAAGCCAGTTTAAAAGTGCTTGTCATCGGGCCAGTCGGGTGTAAAGCGAGCTTTCCTCTGCATGAAGCCTGGTGGGCATCCATCCCATCGATTTCCCAGGTCCCCAGCTAGAAGCCATTGCCAGGTCAGGTAACCAAACGTGGCCAGCCCCACCAACTGTGGGATTTCACAGGAACAGCAGGCCGTGCAACTACTTAGTAATAATTCCGTGTTTAATTTTACCCAAACAAGTTCATATGACTGCAGTTTATTCCAAATCTCCCTTCTTTCAGGCTTCGAGCTTTTTTTTTTTTAAAAAAAAAAAAAAAAAAGCCTGTCCTGCTGTGCAGGACACATTTTTCCTGAGAGCTGGGTAATGCAAACTAAGCTGCAATTTGCTACTTCAGGTTCGAAGGCTTTTTGTCATACTTACGGGGCAATAGAAATGGTAAGGTAATACTGAAATGAGCAGAAGTGAAATGATGGAAGGAGACAGAAGCAGACACTGTACAATCAGTGGCTGATGATGTATTTATGTCGGTAAGTCATTCACTCATGCAGTGTCACAATTCATACGAAGACAGGCTTGTTCAAGTAACAGATAATTAATATACCAAGCTAAACCCCCCAGAACCAGTAAAGCAGCTTCGGGAGGAAGAATCATATATTACTTTCTATTACTTCTTTTGGCACATCGGTAGTATGACTGACAGTATCAGGACACTTAGTTTGAGCCAAAAACTGATGGTTCTAGACAGTAGGCTTTGGCATGAAAAAGATATTTGCTTCAGAAGAACGTAATCAGTAAAGTATGAACTGATTACTTCAAGTTCCTTAGCTACTGCTCAGTTAAAACTGCTTTAGATAAAGAAATTTTAACAAGATTAAGATTACTGATGTATTTAGCAACACTAAAACCAGCAATGTTTAACTAAACATAAAATCTAATATTTTCAAGCATGTAAAAGAATGCCACGCATACTTCAATGTACATACTATATTGTTACTCCAATTAACTTTTTCAGACTGCTTCAGTATAAAGAAGTTGAAAATTATCTATTTCAACCAACGCTTGATTCCTTTCAAAATTAAGAACCTTTGAAACAACAAAGTGTTACAGACATAATATTGGGGAAAAAATTATGATTTTTGCAGAGTTTGAAAGCCCAATTCTTTTAACACTTGCGCGTGTATTTCACTGACACTCGGTGAGACTGCGGACGTGAACGAACAGCAGGCATTAAAACATTCCAGTTAGACATGATTCCAGTATTTTAAAACAAACGGTTGAGAATGCCACGGCCAACCAAGGAAAAACATGTAGCAAACTGTTGCACTCCTTTTGCATAGCTAGATTTTCTGGGGGACAAAGCTTGCAAAGAAAGACGATCACATGGGTATAAAAATATCTGAATTCCCTTTTAATATTTGATTCTCACCAAGACACTGGAAAGCAGGTCTCAGACATCAAGGCAGTGAATTTCCTCCTCTTTTAACAATGAAAGAATCGACTATAAATTCCCTAAGTTTCTATTCAAATATTAAAAAAAAAAATAAATGCAATGAGAATGTTTTGTATTCTGACCTGGATAGATAAGCAGGGAATAAGCACCACAGAACTATGAAGTGCTATCCCAGATTATCGCTGTTTAGTCTACACCTAAATGTTTCACCATTATTTATGGAAAATTCTGTACATAGTTGGTGCAGCTCTGCTTATGGCTGTAATACAGCAACCAGAAGTGCTGCTGGACACCACCAGACACCCACGGCCAGGTTTCCACATAGAAACCTGCAATATTTGCGTGCTCTTTGTCTGAAACAACCAAGCACACCTGTATGTAGCATCCAAACAAAGTAAGGGATATTTTCTGAGTGTTTGTTTGTTTGTTTTCCTCTTCTCTTTCTCCTTTCTGACATGTGGAGAAGCAGAATGAAACAGTCTGCTCCAAAACAACCCAATCACATAGTACTGAAAGTAGTAACTACTGATACTGGAAAATAAATACATGGTCTTATTAAATTTTCCACCCGCAAATTCTCCTAATAGGTTTTTTAACCTTTTTTAAAAATTAAGTCTGCAAACAACATTCTGAAAAAGCTATTTTGTTTTAAGAACCCGCTTCTCTTCTGGTGAGCAACAAGATTTCAGGGATATTCTGAAAATGCTGTTCTCTAAAAAAGGAGGGTTTAAATTCAGTCTGACAACCCGGAGTGCAAAACTTCTATATACAGAGCAGTCAAATGATTACAGACAACATGGCACCAAATGTGGAAAGGAACTTCACAAAATTTTGTGAATTTGTTTTCTCAGGTAGAAGTGAACCAACAGTTTGGTTGTGAAGGATAGAGAAATGTGTTTCCACTCTGTCCTATCTGTGGCTTTTAGTCCCTATTCACACTTATTTAAAAAGATGTCATTTAAAACATGTTCTGTGATGATCAGAGTCATTCAGCTACACTCCAAAATAACAGCGGTGGTTAAAGGAAACTCAAAACACCCTTTAAAGACCATTCATAATGTTTAGAGTCCTGCAAGTCCTCTTGCAATAAAGCCTAAATTGCATTCTGAAAAAAGGGCGATATTCAAAGCAAACAAATGTCAATTTCATCAACACCACACTTGCCTTTAGGACTTCATCAGAGATCCTTCCAAGGGGCTAAATTCCCTGCGAGGAGTAATGCTATCCTAACATTGACCAAAAAAAAGATATATATTTCTTTTCTATTTACATATTATACATATTTACATTTTTCAATACTACAGTTGTAGAGGGGAAAAAAAACCCCTCTGGATGCAGATTTATTATCTGCCTTTAAATGTCCCAACAGTATTTTTTTCCCTTCGAAAAAATTTACAAGTCCTCTTCAGCTCCTTTGAAAGCTAGATACAGTCCACATTCCGCAGGCCACCATCCACAGTCAAAGCACCAAATCTAAAACAAAACAACGGTGTATTCTTAGGTGATTGACTAGATTACAGAATCAATCAATTATAATTATCAATTATAATTTATTCATGGGTTTTTCCTTTCCCTTACCACATGCCAACACAGGCATTTGTATCTAATTTCTGTACGTGAAAAGTAGACAGAAGAAAGGTTACTATGCTCCAAGTATGGGACTGGGGGTGGGGAACATAACAAAACCTATTCAGCTTGAAGCTAAACTCAGCTCTACCAGTAATTTACCCTGAAGCTTTCAGGAGATTATTATTTTTATATATTTTATCATCAACATAATTGTAAAAAAAACAAAGTCAGTCTGTATGTGACAACGACAATATCCTCTCAGGTTTGTAAGAAATATGTTGGCCTCTTTCTCTTTGTTTTATTTAAGCAATCTGAAAACTACAAAATCATTCATTCAGACTGGTGTAATTCCAGAGACGTTAAAAATTACATCTAAATGCGAGGAGTTAAAAGACTGGACCACTGGATTGCTGCAACAGTACTGTGATTAAATTCAGAATTAATCTGTCTGTGCAACAGATATTTTTATTAGCTAAACATGAAGCAAAAATGCCACAACTGCTGTGTCAGAATAATTTTATAGTAATGTTTTAGGTCTTGAATACACTTTTTTTCATTACACCTCAGATTAACAGTTCAAAATATAATTAGAGTTAATGAGATTATAGAATTATCCCTTAGTTTAAGTTCTGGATCTACAAAATGTACCAAATCAAGCCTGTTCCTAGTATCAGTCCAAAAAGGGAAAACAATTACTTGCCTTTCCAAAATGTGATTGTTCTCAGCCAGCTCCTTAACAACCCCTTCCATTTCCTCCTTTAGTTTCTTCATACTGCAGTAACAAGATGTGAAGGAAAGGTAATTTTTATGGGGACAGTTATCTGCTATGATCACTCACCATCATGCAGCTTTCAGCAACTTGACATTACATACAAAACAAGGGACAGATAACAGGTTGGTTATTTAATAAAAGTGACAGATGATATATTAGTGTTGCCCCCTACTCGCTTTCAAGTCTGTACCACCACTTTAGCAATATAAAGTTTTTTCTGCAATATAAAATTCTTGATCTTAATACAGCAATCCCCGAGTCAACTTTTTTTTTTTTTTTCAATTCACCTCTGTAACAGGTTTAGAATGTTACATCAATCCAGTTAAGGAATTCTCACCCAAGAGTCATTTCCACTAATGTGTTTGAGCTTGGATAAACTGTGTTCATTGTATGTTTCACCCCACTGGAAGCTGCAAACATTTTCTGTGGCAAAGCATCTTGTAACTGTAAAAGATAAAAAGGAAATGTAAGTTACAGTATAAATTCTCATATGTATTTTGATGTCCACCTTTAAAATCCTGCTTTACATTCTCCATTGCTATGATGCCTCATAAAATCGTTACAGTAGTAATGGGGCTGATATTCCCCAAGTTGAGATCATTATGGCAAGTTTTGTGTTCTCATGACCTATAGTTTCCTGTTTTGTTCCATCTTCTTAACTGTCTTAACTGTCTTATGCTTTCATAATAAACTCTCAAAAGAAAGAATTATCTATTTGTTATGTTTGTTGATATGCTAAGGCAACAGAATCCTAATCAATAACTGACTCTGGTAGTGCTACTAAAATCCAAGCAAATGCTGCTTTCTAGGTGCTTTTCTTTCATTTACATGTTCTTTACAATAATAATAATTTTACTCATGAAAATTCTCTCGATTTTGAGGTAATTCTGATAAGTGTGCATGCTGTTTTTAACAAAACATTTTCTTCCATGTCACCAGCAGCATTAGTTTAGCACATATCCTTAAGCATGGGTCCCCTAATCTTGAACACGAGAGTAATGTTTTTATGCTTCAGAAGAGTAGTGAGGTAGTCCCCAGGTGCCCAGACAACATTATGGCAACAGTTACACGGAACCCTTCTCAATGAACCCACACCCATTTGCACAGACTGTTTTTTGGGAATGCTAACGCTATCAAAAAAACCCTCACCCAAACCCCAAATCCTACCAAAACATCAAAAACAAACACCCCCCCCCCCCCCCCCCCAACTCCAAAATTGAGTCAGAATTCAAAAAAATCACACCACTTCCTAGGCCACTCCAACATCAGCAATAAAGCTACTACAGATCAAATATTGTATCCATGCAGCCCTATATTTTAATACGACTGCATTAATGTAAGATTCACTATAAACAACACTATTGACATTAAATAACAGTGAATAGTCTTTTATCTATGCAAACACTTTACATAATTTTGAAGCATTCTACCTCATTTATATAATCCTGGTATTTGGATACCTCTTCTTCAATATCAAAACACTGGTTGGTGAGAGCCAGTAACTGCTTCCTCGTGTGAAGCATTTTCCTAAAAGAAAAAAAAAAGTTTTAAGAGCTTTCTTTATAAAAGTGGTGCAGTGGATGTTACCAAATATTGAAGAAATCAATAGCTTGCCTTGTCCAGTCCTCGGCCTTGTCCAAAAATCTATCGTACTTGCTGACACATTCATCTTTGAACAGCGCTATGGCTTTTGTAGCATGCAAATACAGCTTCTGCCTGCAACACAGAAACAACAGGAACAGTGTTACACTGCTTTCAAAACTCCATTCCTCTAACTTACTTTCCGAAACTTGGAAAAGAGGTATATGGACTTAAAATCCCTTTAGCCGTCTTTATTCATGCTGTTGTAATGTATAAGAATTCAACACACTGCATGAACTGACAGTTTACGTTTCAAAAACATTCCCTAGCAGGGAGGAAAAAAAATTATTTGAAGCATTTAGTTGCAATTATTTGTATATGAACAAATAGTCAAAAGTCTTCTACAAGTCAGTATTTATCCAAGCAGGTATATTTAAAGAAAAGGGGTTCTAATGGAAAGGACAGAAATCCTTATTAGTTCTAATTTGCCTTCAGCACGATACTTGGAACTTCCAGCACATATGAACAATCCTTTGTGTTGAGTAATATGCATGCAAGAAAAAAACCAGGATTTGTGTGTCAGCCTCAATTTATGACACAAGAAAAAAGCAAGCAGATAAGGCCAGGAAAGCAAAACAAAACCCTATGCTGGTTAATGTTGCAGGCAACAATCCCAGTGTAACTGCCTTACCATGCTATGCATTGCACCAGTAGAGTAAAATTAAGGGACAAAATACTGGAACACTACAGTCTGACACCTGCTTCTGGTATTCCTTTAAGTCTTGCATGACAGCTATTGGTTCATCAAATTCTGGCTAGAGTGGAGTTGGATTGTCATCAGGCACACACAGCTATCATTCAACCAGAAAAAAAATCCAAATTGAGCGCTGCTCCTTTGTCTATCTAGTGGTAAATATTATAAAGGCCAGCTCCGTTGCTAATGGCACACAGTTCTTAACAAAAAACACTGCCTTTTCTCTCTGGGGTGAGTGAAGGAAAATAAAATGTAGTTAGGACCTCAAAGATACTGGAACAATCCCATGGAGACACTTGTGGTAGAAAATATACCAGTATTCTAAACCATGAAAACGAAGCCTATTTATTTAAAATTATTCACATATTAATGCAAGGACACAGTCTGAGTAGTAGAAAAAGCCCTAAAATTTCTTTAATCTGCCTGAGGGAGTGTAGTTTTAAAATGAGCTATGGATTGTGTCCCAATGTTCGCCTGTTTTCTGTCCATATCCTTAAGAACACATGACTGGAAATTATTGCTCACATTATCTCTTAGATTAAATTCAGGCCCTTGCTGTTGCAGGGCAAAGATGTGTCCAAGCCTCTTTCAGTGTATCAAGATCTGTCTCACAGGTTTCCTTTATCCTAAGGCAACCTCCCCTCCACTTGGCAGTTACCCCAATTAGCTTTCACGATGGGAAAATGAAGTGGCATGGTTGTGAGAATACCGGTGCCTTCTGTACGTTAGCTTTCCATATATAATGGTCAGTGAAGCCACACTGGTGGTAGCAACAGCAAGAATTTTTAGAATGTTACAGAAGCAGGGTGTAAGTTCATACAGCACTCAGCAAAGTCTAGGGAACCACCCAACTGACCAGCCACTAGGAGAATAACTTAATTAATTAAACATAAGCATCTAGCATCACTGAGCAGGTGCAAGGATATCCTGATCTGCTTCCAACTGTCTGTCCAGAAAGGTGTAGGTCTCCCGTTTGTCTTGTGTCCTACCTCCCAGTCTCAGATACCTCAGGGCAACTTGAATAGCATTGGGCACCTGTGTATGAGGAAGTGAATGGATCCTGATATGGGTACTGCAGCGTGAGCAGAGCAGCTGTTTATGCTGCTCAGGAGTTGGTCAGTGGAGCCTAATGGGAGTTCTAGACACCCAGGTTACATACAGACTCCTAATGCGGCCACCTCTCTTAAGTAACAATTTTAAACAGGCATGAGGAACTGCATCAAAATTTATTTTGCATGCCATATTTCCTGGAAGATTATGTCACTCTAGAATTTCATTCAGCTAACCCATATTTTATTCACCTGTAGAAAATTATCTCCACCTTAGTTACAAAGCCTCTTTACTCTTCCTGAGGGCTTTTTCCTCCCTAAAAAAGCAAAAAGGAAAAAAAATGTTCTTCTTGTAGAAGAGTTATGCTCAGATAATGAACAGGTATTTCACATCTACATTTAGAAGATCTATCAGTGAAGGAACTCCACTGCCAGAAAGCACCTCATTATTACATGCTGACATCCCTACGTATTTAAGATATTTAAAGGATGTTTTTTTAAAAGCAATCCTACAGAGGTTATAATTTAAAATAAAAATCAACAGAAGAGGTTATTGGCAAGAGCAGCTGAAGGACCTGAAAGCAGTCATAGTATTTCCCAAAGGTAACTTCAAAACTTACTTGTCAAACTTGTGAATTTGTTCTTCATTATAAGGAAGCCCTAGGATCAGAGCAGATGACAGATATTACCAGTTTAATTCTGTTACTTGTATTTATGTAAAACTCCACTAAATTCACCCATTTCCTTTATGGTTTCCTACTCCTACCCTGATAGGTAAAAGTGGTCATTTACTTTTTTTTTTTTCTCCTCTTCAGTCTTGCAATTCAAATTTATAAGATTAATAGCAGTGTTTCATTCATATGGGCTTTAAGACAGTACCTCACTAAGAAAGACCTAGAGATATATTCACTGTTGCTGACTATCCTCCATTCCTACCACAAATACAGTGGAACAAGGACTGACCTGTCCTTTCCATTACACTTTATGTTAAAAGAGAATCAAACAAGTTACTTACTTCGTTCTGCTTTGTCTTTTTTGAACTGATAATAAATATCTGTGATGGAACATAGCAGTGCCTGCAGCCTTTCTGGACTAGAGTGAGGAAAGGAAGAAAATGAGATATTTTATATATAAATTTAAGAACCTACTAATGAGTTTTAAGAACTACAACTCAATGTAGAACTCAATACATACTAAAACAATTAATATAGTTACTCACTTTCTGTCTTTTGGATGCATGCCTTCCTGATTTGCCCAGGTGTCAGCCAGTAAACCACCAGGAGAAAGTTTGTTTTTGATATCTTGAAGACTAGTTTCTATTGAGCCCTGAGAGCTGGAGAGCTACGTAAGAACAAGAAAGTTCAATCTTACCACTGGCTAAGGTAAAAAATTACTTGAAGCTGAAAGCAGACTGAACATGTTAATACTATAGACCCATTTGTTTCACTTCGTTAAAGAAACATGCCCAATTATCTGCCTAGGCTTCGCTAAAAGCAGATAAAACATGGTATTATTGAAGAAAGAATCATCTTTGATGCTCGCATTTCTGTTAGTTAATATTTATTTACTTTCAACGATAAGTTCCTACCTTTCATATATTCCCTACTTACTGCTACACTTGTTCTTTAGGTTTGCTAAGAATTCATGTAATGACTATCCACGTAATTTATATCTTTCTTTCTCCACTGGTTCATACAACCTTCAAAACAAAAATGTACTAACCACCTTCTGCTTTTAGAATGGAGAGCTGAAGGACACCAGCATGTAAAGTTATTTTCAATTTTTCCTTACTTGTCTGGAAACATGATGCAAATTTCAAAGCAGATCACTCTGAAGTGTGTTTGTGTATGTATTGTTTTAGAAAGCAAACAAAGTAGTTTAAAATTCTTTAAGGAAAGGAAAAAAACCCTTCAAAGTAAAATATATGTTATGGTCATAACTTTTTACTCAAGTACATTTGAAAACGAGACAGTGTTTTCAGGAACTTCTTATTATTTTCACTACAGTGGGCTAATAAAAAGATTTACTCTATTTTCAGTACGATATCCACATCTCAGTATAGGTATTTTAACAATCTTTGGCCATCTAGAAATGACTTTGAAAATTCAGAGCTGTTATTCAAAGAAAAACCTGTGTTACTGCGCGTTTGGCTATTTCTTTAGAAACACCATTTTGAGAATGACACAGACTTTGTAAGATACTTACACGCAACAGTTTTGTGTGTATCTCTGAAATTTCATCCACTTCAGATGCTTCCAAGTTGATCTGCATCAAATTCTCATATCTGACCACAAGAAAAGCACGTTCAGAAAAGAAAATAAAAGAGCATAGTTAGAAAAGAAAATAAAAAAGCAGTGAATATACTCAAAATATTCCTTGACTCTAGAGATCAATACTAACTACTTTTCTTTATATGAAATACAGTGTCTGTCAAGGAACAACCATCAACCATGAAACATGAGCAACCTTAAGTGGCCATTAACAATGGAAACATTTAGCTATGAATATTTTTTTTTTCCCTACATTTGAACTGCTAAGTAGTTTAAAACTTCCATTCCTGACTTCTTTATTCTGTTCTTCTTATTTGTACTTGATGGGCAGTGGAAAACTATTTTCTCTCAACAAAAGAGGTTACCTTCAAAAGGTTACCAAACTAAAGCTACTGAAAGTAGTCAAAGACACACAACAAGCTAATACTCCAGTGCATCAAAATGCTCTTCCGTGGAAACTTATTGGAAAGGATGAGTTACAAAAACCTTGGGTTCTTTGAGTTGTTAAAGGCTGTGTTAGTAGCACCATCTATTCATATTGATACTTTCTACTATTGATACATGCATGATCAAGTGCCAAATAAATCATTCAGGATGATATTCTTCCTGTTGAGTCTCAGCACATTTTATTTTTTAAAACAACATCAAAACCAGCTCAGCTGCTTTCAAAAAAGCCCACATACTTTGCCCAAGTTCAATATTTTGTTTACCTTTTCAAATAAGAGCTTTGCATTGTCATGCTTTGAAGCACAGCCTTGAAAAGGGAGAACAAACAAGAGGACACGTCCTTTGCTAACTCCACAAAAGCCTTCTTGAAGTCAAATAAACTGAAAATCCTGCCCCTTCCTAAGAGGCTGAAAGACCATGTGCAAACACAGAAAACTTTTGTTCACATAAGAACTACTCCAGTTCACAAGTGAACATAATTTGTGTTCAAATTGCTGCTCTGAAATACTGGTGAACCTACTGCAGTTTCTTCTGAGCTCTAAGTCACTTCCTTCTGTGGGCACCTGGCAGAATGCAGGAAGAAGCTATCTGAATCAAATGCAGAGTGAACAAGAACCAGTCCTGTCAAGTAGTGTACACTGGCTTGAAGGAAAGTTTGGATTACAGCCTTCATCATCTGTAACTCGGCTACACAGGTAGCTGGTTATCTTGCTAGTTACCAACTTTACTAGTTCCACCACTGTGTTTTGGTTTTTTTTTTTTTTAAAGCAAGTACCTTAAAGCCCAGGTGCATCAGTTTGTACATGTTTGGCATGCACACAGCAACTCTGAAAAATCCATGGCTGTCCATAATTACTACATAAAAGCTGTTAAATTTGCATATGCAGAGCAGCTCCAACATGGTTTAAGTCTATTCTTAAGTATACTCTGCAAACCCAATGGCTCTACACGTGTGCATTAATCATCTTGTGAGCATCTACATTTTCAGAGAAGCCTGGAAGCAAGTTTAGAGAACGCTATGACCAAGACAGCATTTGTGGGAGACTGGCAGTAGGTTGAACCGAACAGAAAAACAACCACCCACAGGACAATCTTATGAAGAGCCAGGGTTTAAAGATTGTATCAGACTGCGTAAGGATAACACACCTTAAAGACGGAGCTAATGCTAGTCTGTGAAAAGACTGAACAAAACACTGCAAGGACACTTTAAAAGTAGAAAGGAATGCAACTGAGAATTGGAGACTGCGTGGGACTTGGAGATGAAACAAAGATTGGGATCGAGAATTCAGTTGGTGCAATTGATCTCCTAGAGGCAGCACTTGACTGAAAGAGGTAGAGCAGAAGAGTCTGACATTGACGAGGAAAACATTTGCTTCCTTGGAATGGAAGACAAGAGAAATAAGTGTCTTCTGCAGTCTTTGAAAACTGGAAGACTCCTAGGCTAAAAAATTACCATTCTTTAGTTGCTCCTTACTATAAATTTTGTCAGTTTTAAAGAAAGCACTGTAAAAAAAAAAACCAACCCAACTATGTACTACATAGATCTAAATCGGTCCATAGGGGCAACAGTGAGATTCTGTGACACAGACCTCTGCCATTTGAATTTGGGTTTTGGTTGGTTTGGTTTTGGGTTGTTTTTTGGGTTTTGGTTTGGTTTTGTGTTGGTTTTTTGTTTTTTTTTTCAGTTGCTGTATGTTGTATTTCAACATTAAAATTCTTTCCATGCAGAAAATGCTATGGTCTTAAAGCTGTGAAAGGGGCAGTATTTAAAGTCATTTTCAGTAAACACACACTAGCAAACTCAGTGACAAAAGCACTAAATCACTAATGAAAGGAAAGCTACTCCATTCTTTGTCCAGGCTTTACTATAGCTTCTAAAGTCAACAACAGCAAATGAGCCGAGCCAGGAAGAAAGAAGTAAAAGAACACATACAATTACTACTCAATAGTAATTACTTGTTCCCACTCGGTTAGGCAAAATTAATGCTCTAATTTGAGTAAATCATGTTACTAAATCTGCTTAAGTCAGTGCCATCAGCAAATCCATGCACATTTAAATTTAACTTTCATATGCAAAACCCCTGTAAATAAACATAACTTAAAATACTGCTGTCATTAAAAATTATAATGAAAAATCAATGCATTCAGTATAGTGCTTCTACTCACATTTTCTCAGCTTTCTCAATGTTTCTGCTGCAGAAATCCAGTCTGATGGCAACCTCTGTCTTTTTATGAGCCATTTCGTTGTAATCATCCTTGATGATTTCACTAAAAAAGTGAAACACTCGTCTATAGCAAAAGTATTCACCTGCCATCTTACCAGCAATCGGTAATACAACACTAGACCTACAGCAATAACTGCTAGTAAGAACTGCATTCAGTTAGAGATGCATTAGGTTTATAGGAGGCTTATACTATCTTGTGCAAGCTGCTCAATTGTACCTGCAGGTTAAGACAGGTTAGACTGAAATCATCCACAGAAGAAAGTGAAATTACAAATACCTAAGTCTAATTGTCAAAAAAAATTATTTTTGTTTCCTTATGACAGAAAGAAGGAAAAAATGCAAAAAGCCTAGTCATATATGAGGATTAAAGAAAACCTCCCGAGATACTGGGAGATGACAGAATTGTGTATTGATAATCAAGGCATATCTCAATTAAAAAAAACCCCAATAAATGTGCAAAGAAATTCAATTACTTACATTAGCCATCGTATTCCTTTTCTCATCAGCTCCTGGTAAAGTAGCAAAGAACTGGCAACTCTGCAGGCATAATTTACGATACCTGTTACTGCCTGGTGGGAAAAACAGACACCATTAGTACTCATCTGCCATTCCCTTAACAATTGTTTCAAGTCAATTAATCACAACAAAGCACCACAGATTAATAAAAGAAAGAGCAACATGAAGATGGTAGTTTAAAATGCGTAACTTTGCCCAAACTTTAGTCAGGAGATAACCAAACACTCATTGTGGAGGCAGAGCTAAACATGGGGAGTGAGTTTTTCTAGTTACGCTGAAATATCTGTTAGGGATGAAAATAAGTCTCTTATAAACAAAAATAATACCACTTACTCTCAGGATTTACTTTAATTTCTGGAAAGTCACAAGTACATCTCTTCAGTAGTTTAGGAATTAAACACATACATTAAAAGAAACTTGTAAAAAAATGACACATTCTTATATTCTAAGAATAGGGACTCTCTTCATTCACTTAACTCCACGTATAAATTTGCTGCATTATTTAGAACTGTGAACTGTTTCAGAAATTATACTTTACAACTTTTTAAATAATTGCTATCAACTGCTGACTTCCTGTTTATTAATTCTAAAGACTTCTGGTATTCAAAGATACATACGCTTTCAGGACTACCAGGCCTGAATGCAAGGCTTCTCAGCAGCCAGTATTTTATAGGCACAATATAAATGGTGGTCACAAAGTCAAAGCATGGCAATGCTACAGCCAGTAGTTTTACATAAATGACCAAACGAATGAAACATCCTCTACTGGTTTCCCACAGATTCTGAAAACTTGCAAGAGAGGCAAAACAAAATTCCACTCTCCTGCAGAGTCCTACAGACTCCTCCCTATTGAGAGAAAGATGACAATTATTTTTCTTACATTAAGTTTTGCACCATCATAGGGAATGGTACAAATCTTTTAGCTAACTCTAAAGTGGCAGGCTCCTTTTCCCCCCATCACTGAATTATGCAGTAACAAAGCACTTGGACTTTAGAGGCTTGTTCTTGGGGTTTGTTCTTTTTTTAAAAAAATATACAAACATATTTTGCATACAAAGCATGGCTTTAATATACTTTCAGAGCCCTCGTGAACAAATGCATTTCTGTATATCAGCATCCTCATTAGCATATTAAAAATACTTTCATTAACATTATTCATCTGAAAATCAAGTAGCTTTCTTTTCACTATCATTATCTGAGACAGGTATATAAATTAAACTCATCATTACTCACTTTAGCCATACTGGCATCCCCATCCAAATCGTAACGTTGATGTACTTTAGGAAGTAAAACTGAAACATAAAAGAAACATCTGCATTTTCTCATTTTTTGCAAGAGACTCAAAAGTTCAGACCGTTTCCCCTCCCCACCCTGAATGCTGTTTTTATGCGTATCTAGATGGATTTTCATCTAATCTGCTCTGTTTCATCTGTTACTGCCAAGCCTTTTAATATTGTGTGATCCTCATGCACACCTTCAAAACCAACCTTTGTCTTAAATGCTTTAAGTAACTTGGTGTCTTCAGCAAACTGTCCTCCACTTCCTTTTTCAGTCACTTTTGAACACACTGCACAGCATAGATTTCATGCAGGTGTCAACCAGCGATCACTCTCCATTGAGAAAGCCAACCATTTCTTTTTATTCTTCAGCCCTGTGTTTGCCTGCATGGGAGACTGTTCCGTCTTATCTCATGGCTGCTTACTTTCATTGAGACTCTTAAGGGCAGGACTTCACCAAATAGTTTTTTAAAACCTAGGGTAGCCTCTATCAGTTTAATCTCATTTGTTCTCATGCTCATTGACTCCTTCAGAAAGCTCTGATGCAACATAAAGGTCTTGTTGATCCTTCCACAAACAGCTCACCTACCCACACTCTTCAGCACCTCTGTGTGAGTGCCAGCTGGCCCCAGCAGTTGGTATGTAGGGCACACTGACAAAAGCAATGCCGATGTCTCAAGTGGAGGCACAACCTCATCTCTTATAAAGAGATTTTGCTCTGGCAAAGGGCCCTCTATACGCCTCTCAGTGATAAATGGAAATGCAAAAACTTAAATTCTTTTTTTTTCTGTTATGGCATTACCTTATCTTCTAAGCAAATAGAAGTTGTTAAAACTTCCTCTGTTAACTGAAAGGCTAACCACATTCATGACAAATAAAAAAAAAAAGGGAGGCAAAACTTGAATTTCCACTTAGTGAGTAATGGGACAAAAGAACAAGCTTTGATTCATGTTCTATAATGTTCCATTCTACTTGTTAAAAGTGTCATGCTTCAAAAAATTTCAGAATTCCATATGCATCACTACATCTTAACATACAAACGCTCAGGTTCACAGTATTATCACTAGGAACATTACAAGCAGCTACTGTTTCTGTAAAAATATGCTGGATACTCAGCACTTTTGAAGAAAATTGGATGACATACTTAGAACTTCAGGTATCAACAGAGAAAATTTTCAAAAATTATGTCTCAGACATAAAAGATATTAAAAATAATTAAATAACCCAAACTATTTACAAAGGATAAGAAAGGGGAAATTACTTTCATATACCTTCTTCATAGATTAATCCGACAATGTTCACAGCCTCCCTGCTTACTACAAAGATAGGATTCTCCTCAGTGGTTCTGGGGAAGTGCTGTGCCAATCTGCCAGGCTCCAGTATTAAACGCCGACCTTCATACAGTAGTTCTTGATTCTGAGATGGTATTTTTGTCTGTTTGTAGACCAACTCATGAAATATAGCAGCTCTATAATACAAGCAATACATTCAGTAGTAATTAGACTCAGTTCAACAATTCAGATTTTGTATTAAATAAAAATTCCTTTCACTTCTGATTAATTAAAAACTAGTTTTATTCTTAACGCATTTCACTTATAAGCAGAACAAAAAGCAGCACGCTGCCTAAGACTTCAGGTTGCTCTGTTACAAAAATAAATGCTATTTCCTGCACAATATCAAACTTCCGTTTCTACCCCTGATTTTCCACCAAAGCATGTCTGTGTAAACAAACTTGCTTTGGCCTGAATTCTGAAGGTCAGCAAAAACAGGCAACACCAGATGAGAGGAAGGAAGCATACTTTAGTTGCCTGAGGCATACCCATTTCTTCAAAGAAGATGGATGTGTCTCTCCAAGAGAAAAGTCTGGTGTTTTACATGTCAAAAAGCATACCTCTTAAGTTCAGCCTGTAAACTGACAGCCAGATTATCTCCTAGAACAGCAGTGATAAGACGACCAAAGACAATTTGGTATTTTATTTCCAGCAATCAATGGATACAAGGTGTAAGAATTTATAACAAACCTTCCCACCCTGCCAAAAAAAACCAACCCAAAACCAAACTAACAAATCAACAAACAAACAAAAGCTCTAAGAAAGAAAAAAAACCTTAAGCACACTAACAGGAAGGACAGTTCACCTCCTGTGAAGTGCTAGTACACTGTCACTTCTTGATACTACAGCTAGTATTCAATTAATCATAAAGATAAACAAGAAAATAATTTTTTAAAAAATAAAGTACAAATAGCAATCTGAGCTGCAAGCAACATTCCTCTGCAAAAAACAGTACTTGGGCTCTCTCAAAATACAAATTACAGAATAGAAAAATTGGAAAAGGCCAGAACTGTATTTATACATTTGATGAAATAACTTTATCTGTTCTCATACTGGAGAATAATGTATGTTTTGTATTATCTGTAATAAGTCAGAGAAAAGGCACTTATTTTTGTACCAAATTGTAAACCAGACTTTACAGCTTTTAATTCCAGCACTTGATGACCATAAATTGAACTCCATGTAACTCAGGATCCTAAATTGTACCAATTACAACTTCAGAAACCCTGTGAGAGTTTCACGTCAGACAGATGTGTACATTTAGTATTCTTGGGTACACCGTAAGAAAAGCAAGAGTTGAACATAGTCTCTGGAAAACTACTTTGTAAATAGGTAACATATACAAATGCAGGATGAGTTGCCATTATGAGCACAAACACACTGTAACATGTCAAGGATTAAGTCTGTGTTGTGCCACTGATTAAGACAAAGTTTAAGATCAGTTGATTTGACCTGCAATTATTTTATTTTTATTAGAAATATTTTATGATCAACATGCTTCTATGCGCTGTGAATACACGAAGAATTACAATTTCACTTCCTCAGATAAACTGCCAAGGAAAGGGTACTGAATTTGTAACACTGGTGAACTCGGGTGACAGTTATGTTTGCCTGAATAAGAGCAAAGAAATGAAAACAGAGAGAGAGCACACTTACGTATTATAGCTGTGAATATAAACTTTATGTAAGGTCATCTGCTGCAGTGAAAAGATGTGGATTATTATTCGATGCAGTATGTCACTCGTCTCTGCAAAGAACTGGTCAAATCCCCAGCATTTTTCCTGGTCTGCTTCAAGAATATTCGCAAGGACAGGAGTGAGCAGTACTTGCAGACCCCTAGAGGACACCAGGAAGAGACAAGACAACTTGAGTCTACTTGGATCTTTTCACCTTGTAGCCAATTGCAATACTTCACTGGATTTCTCTCATGAATACAAATCTATTATCCCTTGAAGAATATCCAAAGCCTTTTTTTTTTTTTCCCTTTTTTTCTACTGAACAACAAAATGTTCAATGGTAGTATTTATTGCTTTTCATTAATACACATACTTACTTTCTCTCTTGTCGATTTAGGCTCAACTATCAAACATTTTCTCCTTTGCTTTTGACAAGCTTCATTGGCATTAGAAAAATGGCATGCAATTTAAAAAGTCTACATTGTAGAGCTAAGGTCACCTTCTACCACTGCTGGGCAGTAGCCTTTTACCCAGCTCACCCCACACACTTATCACAGTTTATCACTCTGAAGGAAGCTACTACCATTTATGGTTTGCTGGCTGAGCAGCCTGTGTGAGCACACTGTGTTGCTTTCAATCAAGATCAGCTGGGTTAGCAGAGGCTCATTATTTTAAATTGTCAACGCTAACAGAATCCATCCTGATTAAGATGGGGCTAAGTAAGTACTCCACACATGCAGCTCAACTGCTGTAAAGAAAAATGTGCAATTATTGCTTTACAGTCATTACTATTCTAGGAGAAAGGCCAGCTTAAATTTTTTTATTTCTACTTTGAGAATCTGAATTGCAAGGAACTTTATGGATCCTAGCCCTGTGTTATTACAAACAACTTCTTCAAAGTTTTAACATTACGAACACATCAACCCTGAATCCAGTGGTAAAACTGTTAACAGTTTGAAGGAAGTTCCAGTTGCTTATAAGCACATAGATGGCCTCAGAGTTCAGTGGATGCTGTGCTCAAACTCACTTCAGTACTAAACTTATAACAGTAAATACTATTTAAATGCTACTTGAAAATATTACTCTAAAGAGATGTTTAATGAAAGAATCTGCTTCCTTCATTTTTAGAGCACTATAATTATATGGAATAAGCAGAGGAAACAACTGAGCAGTACCATGAAAAATATATATAAATTGCATTTGGATGACTTATTTGGACAGATGGGAAGAAAAAACACTTGATAACCTAATACTTATCTATAGATACATAACTATCTATAGATAGATATCTATCTATAGAATAGACTGTACCAATCTACTGAAGAGTTCGAATGAGACAACTGCAACAGTCAGACCTCTGTTCCAAACACCCAGTCCTGAGAGAATAACTGGAAAAACCCCATCAAGTAGCACTGAGACACTTTGTGAGAAGTTCAAACTTACTTTGAAAGACTACAAGAAACAGGCATCTCCCAACTCCATTCAATTGGTCCATTTTCTGCTTTCTGTATTCCAGAAATAGCACCAGAAGGCTTTCCAGTGATTATTTTATACCTGGAATATATTATAAAAATAATAGAGACTTAACAACTACCTCCTATACATAAATAGGTCTAGCAACTAATCCTCAAAGATGTATCAATAATACAAATCTAAAAAACAGAAAACAGACTGGCCGAATCTTGTAGGTGGTGCAAAAATTAGGAAGTTTCACTTACCAACTGACAGTGATGCTAAAATAGCAGACAATGAAAAGGAAACACTTTGGGCTGTGTTGGAGAAGCCACTCTGTTTGCCTCAGATTTGGGAAAAAATTTAGGAGATTTTGACCACCACTGAAGCTAAACTTTTTTTCACAGGCGTTAATTAATCAAACTCAGACTTCCAAGGCATTTTCAATTTAGGCACTTACATGACTAACTTTTAGCATGTTCCATGGCAAGAGATGACATTTAGCCACCACAAAGTCACTTGGGGATAAAGAAGGCTTTGAGAAATTACTTTAACTTGGGAACATCGAACAATTTGGATACAATTTGTCATTGTTTAACTTTGTACCGAACAGGCTAGTATTTCTCAAATTTCTCATTAAACTAATCAGGAGCAATAGGCTTTTTGCAACAGAAAATTTCAGTTGTGCGCTTTGGGAGGATGAGGTACACCTAAAACATACTTCCACAAGTAGATATAATAACAAGAATGCCTGTGGGATAATCACAGGATGGGCAGTTCCTTAAATTAAGAAAATCGGAGTCAGCTTTACAAGGAGTAACGACAGAAATGTTATTGGCCTTGGTACTTGAGAGGTATTGGCCTCTCAAGTACCACCTTGCTTTATTTTTTAAATGCAACACACAAAACAACAACAAAATAGAACTAAACTAAGATGAACCAGCAATTAATTCCAACCAGCACACCATAAGACACAACTCATGCTTCCCATTCAGGAGCTATCCCTGTTATCTTCAACCACAGCCCACAACTCTGCTACTCCAAGAAATGTCAGTCTCATGGGAGCACAAGCATTTCAAGACTGCCCGGAAAGATAATCATTTAATGGACAATAAAAATTTGCAGCACTGAGAATCCATTTCAGAACACCATACTTTTGCTTGAATATCCAAGTTACATACACCACACTGCAACAGACCAGCCTAGTGCTGTGGTGAAGGAAAGATGTGTGGAAATACATCACTGTTTTGGGGGAGCTCTGATGCTTAATTCAGGTCTTAAGGTGCCACACAGTAAAATCCTTGTTGAAGCAGAATGTTTGTACTGGATTTGGCTGGGATAGAGTGGATTTTCTTCACAGTAGCTTATATGGTGCTGTGTTTTGGATTTGTGACCAAAACAGAGTTGATAACGATGGGATGTTTTATCCATTACTGAGCAGTGCTTACACAGCATCAGGGCCTTCTCTACTTCTCACACTGTCCTGCCAGTGAGTAGGGTGTGGGTGGGCAAAAAGGTGGAAGGGGACACACTGGGACAGCTGACACCAAGGGATATTCCATACCATATGACATCATGCTCAGCAAGAAAAGATGGGGAAGGAAATTTGCCAGGGTGGCAGTTGCTCAGGGACTGACTGGTCATCAGTTGGCTGGCGGTGACCAACTGGGGTTTTTTTTTTTGCATCATTTGCTTTTCTTGGTTTTGTTTTCCTTTGGGTTTAGAGGTGGGGCTTTTTTGCTGTTTTTTAAAATATATATACTTATTAAACTATCTTCATCTCAGCCCACGAGTTTTCTCACTTTTACCCTTCCAATTCTCTTCCCCATCCCACTGTGGGGGAGTAAAGCGAAAAGCTTTGTGGTGCTTAGCTGCCTACGGGGGTTAAACCACACCAAAGTTAAAGAATGTTTTTCCTTAAATATTTTCACTATTTTAATGTTTACTCTATGTGTGTAGGATTTCTTGATAAAAAGCATTTAATGGACTGACTTAATTTACAAACAGATGAAATTCTCCTTCTAAATTACCTACATCACTTCCTTGTTTCTACGAGGTCCTTCAAAGGGTCGGAAAGGCAAACTCCCTGTTGCAGCATGGTAGAAAGTCACCCCTATGCTCCACAGATCAACTGTTGCTCCGTACTTTTTCTGATGCTCTTTCCTCAAAACTGCTCGCTCATACATATCAGGATGCTAAAGAGAAAAAAAAAAATCAACAAGAAACAAACAGAAAAAAAAGAAGTTAGAACTGCTTTATGAACAATATAAAGAACAAAACCCAAATCTATCATTTCACAGCAAGATAATTTGTCATTCTAAACTTTCAGTTGTTTAATTGACAAGCAAAATTAGCTTGTATCACAAAATTTGCTTAAGTTATTCTGACAGAATATCACAAAAATGCTCCTAGGTAAGACAGCCACTTCTATTACAGGTTTGCAAAACATATTTACAAATTTAGCTAAAGGTTGCCTACTAGAATAAGACCACTAGAAAAGAGCAGAAAGCCAGTACCCCTCCAAATGATTTTGAAACAACAGAAACCAAACTAGAAAAAGATCCATAGCAGAGGAGACTATCAGTTACGATAGTAAATGTGGGAAAATATGGCAGGAAGAAAATTCTGCCTAACATGCTTGTATTGATGCTTCTCTACTTGCCTCTCTTCGGTTAACTGAGATATCAAGTAAGTGCATCTTACCTACACCTAACGCCATCCAAATAGCTTAAATACAAACTGAAAAATATCTACAGAGATAAAGACAAAAATGTTCATAATTAAAATACTACTGTTCTTCCTTTCACACAAAGCAACAGTGCAAGTTGGACCTGGAAATTATTTAAAGGCTACTGTGCTCAGATAAGCAGCAGAACTGGCAAGACCCGAGTTGGAAAAGGTGGAAAGTTGTAAATACAATTATAATACACAGGTTTAAACATTAATTCCCAACAGTCTGATTGTCACCTATCCAACTCTCACCACAAAGGGCCCCAGGCTTCAAACATTTCTTCAACAGACAGTGAAATCATATGGACTTACTAAATACTCTTCTGTGCCATAGAGAGAAACAAATTGTTCATCATCTTCGAGTTCTCTTGCAGCACCAAAGTCTGTAAGTTTGTAAACTGACTGACCATCTTCACCTATAACACGCATTATATTGCCTGGTTTGATGTCACGGTGCACTATTCCATTCTCCCGGAGATGATTCATCCCAGCCACTTCAATTAAAAAAAAAAAAAAATATACAGAATTTATATATGCATCTTGACATGGACTGCACAAACACTGAATCGCAGCTGAGGCTAGGAAGACATATGTGTTTACTTTCTCACTGGGAAACAAGAATGAGAAAGTACGCTCAATTAACAAAAAGATCAGGACCAGAGAATACTCTAAGCATTTTTGTTTTTCTTCTTTCAAACAGCTAAATTACAGTATTCCTTGCTCTCAGGAACATCCTTCCCATAAAGTAATGGAGGAAAATTTTATAACAGGCAGACACAGGTAAACCTCATTATTTTTCTAATTTACTCTTCTCAATTTGATTATCACTAGGAATCAGTCTAACATGCAACAAATAATCTTGAAGCAAACAAACAAAAAGAGAATATTTGCCTAATATCCAATCTAAATCTCGCCTGGTGCAACATGAGGCCATTTTCTCTTGTCCTAATTAGCTGACAATCATTCAAATTCCTCCTCTCTTCTTGTTTCAAGATAAACAAGTATAAGTTTGTTTCAATTAATGAATTAGACTAAACAGCAAAGTCTACATACCCACATCTCTCAAAACAATTAAGAATTCAGACTCTCGCAAACCAAAGGCATTAGATGGCTCCTCTAAAACTGTATATAAACTCCCACATGGACAAAACTCCATAACTAGTACTTTGTGTCTAGTCGTTGTCTGGAAAAAAATAAAAAAAAGATAAGACTGTGACTATTGTGAAAACAATATCAGAAATTACATATAACCACAGGATGTTACTTCCAAAAAAAGAAAAACAAAATCTGTAGCTAGATCATAAATCCCATTCTGGTGATCTTCACCAAAAGAAGCACAGGTGAATTTTTATATTGTTTCATGTATTCTGACTTAGGGAGAAAAAATTAAGAAAGCCTCAAGTTCTAGACACTTCGAGGGTTGACAACAGTATTGCTAGGTGGACAAATGAGAAACTGCAGCACAGGAGAGCAGACAGCAGCAATTGTCCTTCTTTCCTCTTTGCTATCTCAGCATCTGGGTCATTTCAACAAATTAGTCTCAGTTTCAGCACAACTACTGCAGTTCACACTAACACAGAGTTCTACATGTCCTCTGTCTTTATTTCAGTTGGTTGCAAAGCAAAAGCATAACGCGGTCAGGATTACTGAAACACTTCCAACTATCAGTACATATTAAATATGTAAATATTGTGAATATATTTAATACATATGTCAACATGTATTAAAGCTATCTACATGTAGATAGCTTAAAAATCCTAATTCAGGATAAAGCTTAGGACAGTGGCTCCTCAAGACAGCTTTGAAGAATCATAACCTGTGCCTAAACACTGAAAGCAAGTATACCCTTTCAGCAGCAACAACAAAAAGAAAGAAAAAGAATAAATGGTGGTGGTCGGGTCAGAGAATTTATATCACCATACATGTTACCATTCTTTAAAAATGTAACTTTATCCTCTGTAGTTAAGGACAAAGCAAAAAGACAGTACTGTGGTTACTACCATGCATCTCGGATCACAACTACAACAATTCATTACCTCTTCTTCGATGGCAAACAATTTGACAATGTTCTTATGATTTAGTTTCTTCAATACTTCAAACTCTCGCATCTGAACATCCACAGGACGAAGGAAACTTATGCTGTTAAATACTTTGACAGCATATAAATCCCCAGTTTTCTGTTCAAAACAAACAAATTATTAATCAAACAGAAGTGTAAGTTTTTAAACATATACATATCCGTTATCCAAGTATTTTGAGATCTTCCATTGTGCATATGAGCCTACACAGATTACAAATAGTTCAAAAAAGTATTTTGTGTTGAGGTGGAAGTTAAGATTCTATTAAAAAAATATTTATATGTTGGTTTAGTTTAATCTAGACTGTAAGCAAACAGAGTAGCAGAGTGGAAACTCAATATTAGCCCACAAAATCTAAGTGCTTTTAAAATAAGAATAGTTAGCATAAGAAAGGTTATACATTTAAGAACAACCCATAAACTTAGCTGAAAAATAATTTTTCAGCAAGAGGTAAGACACATGCACAAATCAGCGAGAGACACGTGCATACTACAGTTTAGAATCTTGGCTTGCTTAGGTTAAGAGACAACTTTCAAAAGCTGAACGTTGCTCTCTTTTTCTTTATTGTTCTGTTTATACTGATAAAACAATATTTTGTTTTTTCAAAGAAGGCAGTATCAAGCACTACCTACCACTCATACAAAATCCTGAAGCAATTTAAATGCATGAAATAAGTGACAGGAGCACAGCCATGAGCTTAATCAGAGACTTAAGTTCTCAAGTGGGACTAAGCCCCAACGTGCTCAGGCAGCCACAGCAGCTGACAGTGCAACTCCTGTGCCTCTTAGGGCAAAGTACCTGCCTGCTCCCACTCTAGCAATAAGCTTACATTAGCAGTCTTGTGTGCGACAGATTCTAAGGACAAAGCCTTCCTGTGCTTAGACTAGGTGTGTGGGACAGTACACTTATGGGCACTACTAGTGCCCAGGTAAAAGGCCTTCTCCCATTGACAAAGAGCTGCAGGTCACGTGCTCTGACCAGTGAGGGTCAAGAGAGGTGCAACCATGAAACCACGAGCTTTACAGGGGAATCATTCTGTGTTGAAATTCGCTCACCCAGAATAGAGCATTAACTGCTAAATTATTGCTTAGTGTTACTTCACAGCTGAATGTGGAGGATAGAAAACACTGTAGCTTTATATATAACTTCATATTGATTTCACACAGACTGTCATTACTATAAGGGACCATTACTTTCACCATTAGGCTTATCTTCATTTTTTGAGTCATACCATGAAATTCATAGGAATGGAAGGACGTCCATGAGTGAGGTCATTTTAGCCCCTCACTCAGGTTACAACATACACATCAGTATATCATTTAAATGGCAAAATCACTAAAAGATGTACTATACTGATTCTCAAGACATGTCACCAAGAAGATGGTAACCTAGACATGTACGAAGCATTGACTTTCAGACAAAGGTTAACAGCAACTTCATCTGATAGGATAATGTTAAGAACATTTCACTTACAGTACAAAATCATAAAAATCACAGGAAATGAGTTTTAAAAGAGCAGTGAAAAACTATGAAAAGAGAATTCAACAAAGACAAAAATAACATATGTAAAAAAATAAGACTTTTATTAATATTTAAGTTCTTAAGCAAGGAGTATTATTTGCATAAAACTGAAGAATGGAGGAAGAAAGAATTAATAACAGTTAATATTCTACAAGGACAAATAATATAACATTTAAAAAAATCTTCAGAAATAACCATATAGAACTCAAATTCAGTGGATATTAAAAATTAAAAACTAAGTATTAATAGTTACAAAGATATATTTGCTTTAGACCTAAATCTTGAACAGTTTTTCATTGATTTCATGACGCTACTTACAGATGAAAAATTCTCAGTTTTACATGTTACTCAGATTAGTAATTCCTCACAAACCTTATGTCGTCCCCGGAAAACATTTGCAGTAGCTCCCTGTCCTAGAATGTCAGACAACAGCCAAAGGTAATTTGAAGTGCTCTGCATCTTTGCTCTTTGATTAGACAGTTTTCTTTTTCACCTTAAAAACAGAAGGTTAAATATACTGAATTATAATTTAGTAAAATACACAAAAGGAGCTTATTCTAATTAGAAGGAGAAAAACAAACCACCCAACTGCAACTCCAAAGATACACATAAATAATTAAGAACCACCACGTAGAGAAATAAGAGGTGAAACTAAGAAACAAAGCCAAGCCAGCTCAACGATCAAAACTAAAGCCATAGACACAACACCTCGCTACATTTGAGGTCTTTACTTCCCAAACTTTTCTGAAAAATCCACTGGGAAAGTGAAAGCTTTATAATCCTGTACTGGTTTGTGTGGCAAGGTTTTGGTAGCTGAAGGGCTACAGGGGAGGCTTCTGTGAGCTGTTAGATGGTTCCCCTTTTTGTCCAATGCCAGCTGGCTCCAAGATAGACCCACTGCTGGCCAAGGCTGAGCCCATCAAAGGCGGTGGTAGCCCCTCTGTGATAACATATTTAAGGAGGAGGGAAAAAAAACCCTGTGCATCAGCAATTGCAGCTGGAGAGAGGAGTGAGAACATAAGAGAAAAACAACCCTGCAGACACCAAGGTCAATGAAGAAGGAGGGGCAGAGATTTCCCTGCAGCCTGTGGTGAAGACCATGGTGAGGCAGGTTGTCCTCCAGCAGCCCATGAAGGCTAATGGTGAAGCAGATATCCACCTGAAGTCTGTGGAGGACACCATGCTGGAGCATCTGTAGGAGGCTGTGACTCCATGGGAAGCCCATGCTAGAGCAGGCTCCTGACAGGTCTTGTGGACCTGTGGAAAGAGGAGCCCACGCTGGAGCAGGTTTGCTGGCAGGACTCATGACCCCATGGGAGACCCGTGCTGGAGCAGTCTGTTCCTGAAGGACTGCAGCCCATGGAAGGGACCCACGCTGGAGCAGTTCGTGAAGAACTGCAGCCTGTGGGAAGGACTTGCGTTGGAGAATTTTGTGGAAGACTGTCTCCCACAGGAGAGACCCCATGCTGGAGCAGGGGAAGAGTGTGAGGAGTCTTCCTCCTGAGGAGGAACAATTGGCAAAGACAATGTGTGGCGAACTGACTGGAACCCCCATTCCCAGCCCCCTGTGCCACTCGGGAGTAGGAGGTAGAGAAACTGGGAGTAAAGGAAAGAAGGGAAGTGAGGGGTTGGGGAAAGGTGTTTTAAGATTTAGTTTTATTTTCTCATTATCCTGCTCTTATTTTGATCGGTAATAGATTAATTTCCCCAAGTTGAATCTGCTTTGCCCATGACAGTAACTGGGGAGTGATCTCTCCCTGTCTTTATCTCGACCCAGGAGCCCTTCCTTGTATTCTCTCTCCCCTGTCCCACCGAGGAGGGGAGTGACAGAGCAGCTTTGGTGGGCACCTGGCACCCAGCCAGGGTCAACCCACACACCACAAATCCCTCTTCTGTTGTACACAGGTGTTTGTTTAAATGATACCGTAACAAAAACTATGGGAAAGAGTCAAAAACACATGCACTATGTCTTTTGAAAATAAGCAAGACGTGTAACTGAATTCCATTATTTCATATATATACCAAAGAAGAGACACTAGCGATGATGGCAGATATGATTACAGATCTTTTGGATCACATTTGCTCTGGAAGTTGCACTGCAGTACAACTGTAAAGGAATCGGACTAATTACTTGCAAAAAGCCATTTTTATATGAGCTAGATAAAAGTCACAATTAACACAAGTATTTTTGGCTACTTGCTAGAACCACCAATTACTACTGGAAGAAATTAAGGGACATTTCTCTTGTTTCTAAAATTTCACATTCAGTATGACACATCATTTCTAGAGACACAGCCCGGCTTCCTGAAATGCAAACTGCCAGATACTCAGCTCTTCACAGATTCAAAGGAAGGAGAAAAAAAGTTTGATTAAATGAAAATGATTTATAAAGAATTAGAACGGCCAGATTTCTGCCCTTGCCAAAACACCATCTGCAGGTGACTACCCTTACTTTTTTGGTTTAATTAAGGCACTTATTTTGCCATTAAATTTAGCAAAAAGCTCTAAGAGCAAAGCTGTATCTTCCTGAATCTAAAAAAAGCCTTAAGAGCGAAATAGCAACCAGACCAGGGGAGGGTCCTACAGCAGCAGTCTTTCCTCACAGCCTGGCATGGGACCCGGCATCAGCCTGCGTTAATTGCCAAGAAACAGTTAACTAACTGATACTGAAAAGAAACAAAAAAGCCTTTCCTGTAACTACTGGAAGAAGAGGTATGACAGAGTTTCCTGCGCATGTTTATTACAAGAAGGTGGCTAGCACTTTTTGAGAGCCCTTTGGCACACAAGATGACACCGCCAGAAACCTCACAGAAGCAACAGCATTTCTTAAAATCTACATAAAGGTCTTAATGCCTAGACAAGAAAGGTTTTATCTCAAATCTGAACCAAAAAAAAAAAAACCCAAAACCACACCCTAAGTCCTTAGAATTCTGAGGTAACTCTGATAAGACGATTTACAACAGCAGAATAAGGTAACTCCTCCCAGCTAGCAGTTACTGTGGATGCCAAAGAGCTATCTATGATGCAGGCACAGAAAATAAGAAAGATGTCTGCAAGGAAATAACGCATAGCTCACTCTGTAAACAATTTAAAGAATCTCTGAATTAAAAAATTCCTGGTAATTAAAACCCTGCATGCAACAAGCCAGGTAGCACATGACCAGTAAACGTGCATTTTGTCATTTATTCCAAAGCAACATTCGTAAGACCCATAGCAAGATGCAGAAACATAATTAATCCATTCTAAGCAGACAGAAAGTGTGCAGAAGGATCAAGTAAACACAGAGTTTCTTCAGTGATGTCTATCCAAATACTAAAAATTTAAGCAGACGGAATTAGAGATTTAGAGAACTAGAGAACTTTACAGATGGAATTATTACGTTGCCCAAAATGATAGAGAGGAGGTAGGTTATGTATGAGATCAGCTCTCTTCCTTTAACTTCTTTCTAATTAAATTTGCATGAAGGTCTATGGTGAAAAGAAAACAAAACAAAAGGACAAGTCTGCAACAGATGAGCTTGAATATCATTCAATGGATTTAAAAAAAAAAACAGCAAATTGCTAATGGGTTCCCAAGGTCTGGGTTTTTTCTCTTGTAAAACTACAGATATAATCATGCCAGTATTAATCCCAGGATACATATCCAGTGCCAAAGTCAGTGTTGCACTATTACTCTTTTTTTTTTGGTCAAAATAGTATTTTTATAATAATAACAAAGTCTACACTCTTTTAGCAGTCTTCACTGTAAAGGCATAAAGTCTCACTCAGCTTTGAATTTAATGTTCAAATTATAATAAATCTGATCCAATAACTTATATAACATGTTAGACCTCCTTTAATACCTTTCCTTTCTTAGGCTGATTCAGCCTAAGCAACTGATCTTTGCTAAACACCCGGCATTTGTCGAGTTTTCTTTTCACATCTTCCATTAAATTCCTAGATCAATTCACTTAGAGTTTCATGTTAAAAAAAAACTGTAAGATTGGTCCCATCACTAGATTTAATGCCGAACTTTTTAACATCTCACTTATAGTCATTAAGTCCGATACTTGGTTAAGTCAGAAGTTCCTCACATATATCTAAAGGCATTTTTCTCCGACTAGTCATTTGATTTGTCCCCATGATTCATTAGCATTTCAAGGGCTTGGGGGCTAATTTTTTGGTTGTTTTTTCTTTTTTTTTTTTTAAATATTTTTCTGCTTCTGGTGATGCTACTACTACTTTATTTGGCAGCAGGGGGCCTGTTACAGAAAAAAAAAAAAAAGCATTGCTAACGTGATTTTTGTAACTCCTAACACTTTGAAGCAGGAGTACTGTCTGTTTCTAATTAACGTGAAGTATTACCCTAGGCAAGCAGGGTAAGAACATAAAGCAGATAGTTCCCCTGGTAACAGCTGCAACGTACAAGTTGAGCAGGCAAGTGGGGACAGATGATGAAGTTAAAGTGAAGGCTCTATCTGTCTACAGGCAAAATTCCACCAAAGCCAACAGGCAAGGTGCTGAGGTTCTGAATAAATGTTATTAGAATTATACAGTCTGATAAATGTAAAGGTTGTATACTTCCCTGTATGCCTTCAACACCTAGATAAGTTTCTCCCCTTGAAGTTCCTGCCTTTCTGCTCTTGCTTTCTTCACCTCACCTCCTCCTGGGGGTTTCCAGTCCAACAGCTAGGATCTGAGTGATCAGAATACCCTGCCCCGGGCCACCCCAGGTGCTGCTTAAACTCATATGAAGTAGCACAGGCTCCCAAAGGCCCACAAAACCAAAGGCAAGCTGCGCTCCAGCGCTGCTCCTCACCACAGCCCTCAGAGTCTCCAGCCCGTAAAGGGGAACGAGGGCTCGGGCCCTGTCAGGGATGGCAGCTCCTGGAAAGCCACGGAGGCCTCTCGGCCAGCCCCGCACTGAGAGAGGTGGGGTATGGGGGGCACAGGACTGGAGCTCATCTCCACAACAGGACATCCCTCCTGAGGGAAAATTTAAAAGTCACCCCCGGTCCTGAGGGGGGGGTCTCTTCCCGAGGTAAAACTTTAACAACTTCTACAACCACAGAGGTGACGCCACAACCCGGGGAAAGCTTTACCCAAACCGCAGTCAAACGCACTCTTCCCTTGCCTTTCTTCCCCCCCACCACCCCCCAAACCCCCACCTTCCAACTACACCA